CCCCCCCCCCCCCCCCCCCCCCCCCCCCCCCCCCCCCCCCCCCCCCCCCCCCCCCCCCCCCCCCCCCCCCCCCCCCCCCCCCCCCCTTTTTTTTTTTTTTTTTTTTTTTTTTTTTTTTTTTTTTTTTTTTGGCTTTGTTGTGTGCATTCTTCTCACGCCCTCTACTTTACGTTCAACCCCCTATCCTCTATACAGTCTGCTCCTGCGTTGGAACAAGGCGCGCAGCAACGGAGCAGTGACAATGGCAGTAGAAGCCAAGTCAGGATGTTTCCAATTCCGGATGTTTTTCCCTTGCCTGGCTGGACAGCTAATGCCAAACCCCCAATACCCACTTGTTTACCCTCAAGTTCCTATCCTCGATACAGTCTCCTCCTGCATTGGAACAAGACGCGTGCCAATGGTGCCGTCACAATGGCAATAGAGGCCAAGTCGGGAGCAGCCAGTTCCGGATGGCTCACTCTTAACACTCTCTCCCCTTGCCCCTTGTCCCCTACCTACGCCAGCCTGCTCCTGCATTGGAGCAAGGCGCGTGCCAACGGCGCACTCACAATGGCGGTAGAGGCCAAGTCAGGAGCAGCAAGGTCGGGATGGGTGTCTCTTAACCTCTCTTTCCCCTGCCCCCACTTCCCCCCTACCCCAATCTGCTCCTGCATTGGAACAAGGCGCGTGCCAACGGCGCACTCACAATGGTGGTAGAGGCCAAGTCAGGAGCAGCAAGGTCGGGATGGGTGTCTCTTAACCTCTCTTTCCCCTGCCCCCACTTCCCCCCTACCCCAATCTGCTCCTGCCATTGGAACAAGGCGCGTGCCAACGGCGCACTCACAATGGTGGTAGAGGCCAAGTCAGGAGCAGCAAGGTCGGGATGGGTGTCTCTTAACCCCTCTTTCCCCTGCCCCCACTTCCCCCCTACCCCAGCCTACTCCTGCATTGGAACAAGGCGCGTGCCAACGGCGCACTCACAATGGCGGTAGAGGCCAAGTCGGGAGCAGCCAAGTCTGGTTGGATTTCTCTCGCATGGACCGCCAACAACAAGATGGCTCCTGCCGATGCTGTTTTCGGGAATCTAGCGGGCGGCAAAGTGGCGCGTACTACATCAACGGGTACACTGTGTCCTCGATACAGCCCGCCTCGTTTTGGATCGGGCAGACCCCGCAAACGGTCACTTCGGCTTCTGGCTCGACTGTGGTCAAGTGAGTGGGGGAGAGTGCGAGGACCGGCGAGCATGGGAGTGTGGAAGAGTGGGGGGGGTGTGGGGGAGTGGGAAAGAGTGTATAAGTGTGATTATCTGAACGTGCCTTACTTCTCTCCTCTCCCTCCCCTCCCCCCCTCCATCCATTCCTCCCCCCCCCTTCCATTTCTCCCCCACTCCTGCCCCCCCAGCCCAATGCTTTTTCCTCTTTCCTCCTTCCTCTTTCCTCTTTCCTCCTTCCTGTTTCCCAGTACCCTCATGTGGGCCTATTCCCCCCTGCCCACTGCTCCCACCACTCCCCACCACTCCCCACATTTCATCCCCCTTTGTCCTCATCCCCTCAGGTTCGCTCGCAGGCAAGGCAAGGCAAGGCAAGGCATGGCATGGCATCTGCATGTGCCATTGTAACGAGGTGACTTTTGAGTCGACTCAAAAGTCACCTCGCGGCCATGCCATGGCATCTTCCTGGCATGGAACAAAAGCACCCTCATGTGGGCCTAGGCCCTTCCCCCACCAATCCACTGCACCCAGCCACTCCCCACCTCTCTCCACCACTCATCTGCTTCGTCCCCACTCTCTCGAGTTCGCGCGCAAGCATTCCACGGGGTCTGTATCGCGCTTCCTGGCGTTCAACACAATCAGACTCCTGTGGGCCTACTCCACCCTCCCATTCACCGGTCCCAACCGCTCCCCACCTTTGTCCACCTCCCTCCACTTGCTCAGGTTCTCTCTCAAGCATTCCACGGGGTCTGTATCGCGCTTCTTGACGTACAACAGAAACAGACTCCTGTGGTGTGGGCATACTCCCCTTCCACCGCACTCAACCAATCCCCACCTCTCTCTTCCACCTGTCATCTCCGTCTATTCCCACTCCTCCCTCAGGTTCTCTCGCAAGCATTCCACGGGGTTTGTATCGCGCTTCCTGGCGTACAACAAGAACAGACTCCTGTGGGCCTACTCCCCCTCGGGCTCCAAGAGCTTGGGCTACCATGGCGGCGCATAGTGAGTGTACCAGGCTTGCTTATAACGAGTATGCTTGGTTGCTTGTAAGGGGTTTGTTTGTATGGTGGGGGCAGGGAGGGAGCAACAGCCTCATGTGGGCCTACTCCCCCTCGGGCTCCAAGAGCTTGGGCTACCATGGCGGCGCATAGTGAGTGTACCAGGCTTGCTTATAACGAGTATGCTTGGTTGCTTGTAAGGGGTTTGTTTGTATGGTGGGGGCAGGGAGGGAGCAACAGCCTCATGTGGGCCTACTCCCCCTCGGGCTCCAAGAGCTTGGGCTACCATGGCGGCGCATAGTGAGTGTACCAGGCTTGCTTATAACGAGTATGCTTGGTTGCTTGTAAGGGGTATGTTTGTATGGTGGGGGCAGGGAGGGAGCAACAGCCTCATGTGGGCCTACTCTCCCTCGTCTCCAAGAGCTTGGGTCCACTTATAGAGGATACGTATGGTACTTATAGGAGGGTATGTTTTTATGCTTTTAGGGGGTACATATGATGGTACCACGACAAAGAAGATGGCAATCGTGATTATCTCTATCTTTGAGTCAACTCAAAAATTGACTTATCACACACACATGATTATGTCATCACACACACATGATTATGTCATCACACACACATGATTATGTCATCACACACACATGATTATGTCATCACACACACATGATTATGTCATCACACACACATGATTATGTCATCACACACACATGATTATGTCATCACACACACATGATTATGTCATCACACACAACATGATTATGTCATCACACACACATGATTATGTCATCACACACACATGATTATGTCATCACACACACATGATTATGTCATCACACACACATGATTATGTCATCACACACACATGATTACGTCATCACACACACATGATTATGTCAATCACACACACATGATTATGTCATCACACACACATGATTATGTCATCACACACACATGATTATGTCATCACACACACATGATTATGTCATCACACACACATGATTATGTCATCACACACACATGATTATGTCATCACACACACATGATTATGTCTACCCTGTTTCCCCTCTCCCTTTTTCTGGCCCCCCCTTGTTTCTCCAGTGGAAGGATCACTGTGGATTTCTCCTGCAAGACTGCTGCTACTGGTGGGGGCAAAGGAGGGGGTGAAGGAGATGCGGAAGACAATGATGACCGTGACTGAGCTGTTTTTTTATCCCTTTATTTTCCCTCCCCTGATTCTCCAGTGGGAGGATCACTGTGGATTTCTCCTGCAAGACTGCTGCTACCGGCGGGGGCAAAGGAGGGGGTGATGATGACGATGATGATGATGATGATGACGATGATGATGACGACGATGATGACCGCGACCGTCGCGATCGTACGCGCCATCGCCGCTGGCACCAGGGTTAGAACTTAGAAGCCACACAGGAGGAGACTTTTGAGTCGTGCCATCACCACTCGCATCCGGGTTGGAACTAAGAAGCCACACAGGAGGAGACTTTCGAGTCGACTCAAAAGTCACTGCGATCGTAAGCGCCGTTGCTGCTGGCATCAGGGTTAGAACTTAGAAGCCAGGCAAGAGGACCCACGAGTCGTACCAGCACCACTCGCATCTGGGGGTTTGGTTGCTGTGAAGAGAGGCTGCTTGAAGAGCTCTGGAGACAGTTTGAAGGACGTGGAAGACATGGTTTGGGTTTCCAGGAGTTGGGAATAAAAATGCTGGGTGCAGGTGGTGGTACTGCTAAGGTGGGCGTTAAGTACCTATGTTTCATTCTTAAGTTGCGGGGGACTTAGGTTGGAGCGCTGGGGCCCAAGGTGGGGTATGAATTTGCATGCATCGGGGTGGGAGAGAAGTGACTAGATATGGTTTTGCATATTGTGCACTTTGCCAATAGTGGTTTTGGCACGTGCACTGTTTGGTTGCCATCTTGGCAGCTGGTCATATAGGTGGTTGTTCTGTACTACAATCTTCTTGTATATCAATATACGGTATTAGTAAAAGAATTTGTGGAAGGGATAGCAGTGATCCAACCAGGCCCTCAGATTGGTCTGAGGGTATGCTAATGGATCAGCGTGCCCCTGCAAACCAGGTGTCCAAATCAGCGTTTGTGGTTGTTGGAAATCCGAATACAGTGCAACGAATATTGTATACCAGTGTGCTGTTTGGTTTTAGTGTAGTCCTCTTTATAAGCCTCCAGCTCCTACAATAATTGTCACAATTATTGTAGGGCCAGAATTATTGGAGGTCAGCATTATGGGAGGGTAGAGGGTACAATTATTGGTACACCATTATTGGTGTGAATGGGTCATTCTGGAGGGGTAGCTGGATGCATATATACCCTGCTGTGTCAAATCATTGAGTACAAATTGTGTCATCATTTTACTTTTCAATGATCAATGCAAGATTTCTATCTTGTTCTTTTCTACAAACACGTTTCCGCTACGCTGGCACTATGCCTTTTCTAGCATGGTATCAGAGCTACTCTAGGGGGCATGCTGCCAAAACAGGTTCAGGAATTTACTGGCATACAGTTTGGATAGGTACCTGCATACAGTCGGAGTACCGCACACCCGGTCTACGCTTTCGTACACCTGGTGTTCGCTGTAGGTTACAAGTGCGCGTTTACCGCACACTTGGTGGACGGTTTTGTCAAGGTCATGGCGCACTTCGATGGCGAAGTGGATCCTGGATATGCGGCTTTTGAAGAAGCCATCATGGCTCAGCATGAGCACCTGGAAAGCATGATTGCAAGGGCACCACCAACTCTCCAAGCTTCGTTAAGGGACAAGTTTGGAATGACAATCCAGCCAAGAGCAAAACTCTCTCATGAGTTCAGCAATCCGTCCACCCATGAACAATCTCATTCAAGCACTCCACGTACTAACTAAACTCGTGCAAATGTTCATGCAGGAATTGATGGTGAAGGGGAAATGGGCATACCTCAAGGAGGAGAGTCATCCCAATGGAGGGATGCATCCGTCCAAGGAGAGGAGATCGCCAGTTCCGCACCTCAATCATCCATGCAAAGGGAAGCACGGGGGAGGAATGTTGAGTATCGGAGTGCAGTGTTTGGTGGAATGAGAAGTGGACAGATTGGGCATCAGGGTGACAGAAGTGGTGAAGTGGGCGTGGAAGGTGTGGGATTCGCCTCCTACACTATTGGTGCTCCCCCACTACGACGACTTGCGACCAACTCCCATCCCATTGGAGTTCTTCCCATGCCCAGGTCTCACCTTCATGGCGACAACATCATCCCTCCACGTGCACATCGTCCACCAATCAGCGCACACTCTGTGGACAGCATGGGGCGGATGGATACGGAATGCAGTCAAATGGTGTCATGCGACGGGATCAAGTGGAAGTGCTGGAACGTCAACTTGGTGGACAGAATGGAGATATGCGGCGCACGGTACAACTACCTCGACCGTCAACCATGCCTACTCTCTTCGACCCTGCACCACTGTGAATATACGGAAGAAGACAAGGAACCGCTGTCACGCAAAATGGTGGGAGCAACGGTGGACAAAGCATTCACCACTACTCCGTTTGATGGCTCGAACTTCCGGGAGTGGGCACTACGGTTTCGTATGAACGCTCGCGTCACGAATCCTGTGGGAGTTCTTTGTGACCCTACAGTATCCGGTTACCATGGGAGATGGTGACATTAACGACGCTATGGAGCGGCTGGAAATGCTACAGGCGGACTACTCACAACGTGCGGCGCTCGCTTTTTGGGTCCTACTGCACAACGTGAGCGCCACGATTCAGCTACAGCTGGACATGTTCCAGGAATCCTATAGCCCGGCATATGAAGCATGGGAGTACTTAATGGACACTTACCAGGCCAAAGATTCGGTGGCGAAGGTCTCTCTCATGAAGCAGTTGGACAACCTGAAGATGAGGAATCAAGAGAGGGTGGAGGAGTATGTGAACCGCGCAACGGCGATTCGGGACAAGTTGGCACTGGCGGGAAAGATGGTGGATGAGGACACATTCACCTTAAATCTGCTCACCAGACTACCGGCACATTGGGAGGAGATGAGGCACTCGGCAATGCTGCACAACGTGACGGACAGCTTCACTTTGCAGCGGATGATGATTCGGGAGCAGAGATATCACGATCTCATCACAAAGGATAACCGTGACCGGCGTCCACCTCGCATGGTTGGACAAGCACGTGGAGACTGCTCACCTTCTCCAACTGCTAAGGGCAATAACGGGAAGGAGGGGTCAATTGGGGAGAAAACGCATGGCAAGGATGGAGATGCAAGTCGCTCATCTCTCGTGTGTTGGTACTGCAAGGAGCCTGGACACCCCTTCTTCAAGTGTACCAAGGCACCCCCTGGGTGGACACCACAAAGGTGGGAACCGCATACCCGCGGAAAGGCAAAACTGCACACCAGCGACAGCCGTTCGTCCTCCCCACGAAGGAGTTGCAGCCCCAAACGTGACAACAATGCATCAAAACAGCAAGGGGCAGCCGGGGAAGACAAACAACATACTGTTACGTGCATTGCAATGGTGGGATCGTCACAAGCTACCTTACTGCCAGCTAAAGCGTCATCTTGGATGCTGGATAGCGGATGCAGCCAGCACATGACTTCGGACAAGAGCTGGTTTGAAGAGTTAAGGGAGCTAGACGAACCTGTTTATGTGGAGCTTGCTAATGGGAGCGAGCTGAGCAGCAAGATGACAGGAACGATCCGAGCAAGGGCACCTGATGGGACAACAGTTCGGTACACTGACGTCCTCTACGTACCTGGCTTGAAGAGTAACCTGCTCTCCTATTGTCAGCTGCTGAAAAATGGAGCGCACATCAATACAATTGCTAATGGAGACTCGGAGGTCACCATGAAAGATGGAGAGGAGTACGTGCGGATTCGATTTGCTAAGAACGTGGATGGAGTGCTCGTAGTGCAATATGCACATGCACTTACATCCGCCCATGATCCTGGACATTCCCGTTATGACGCGTCATGGCATCAGGTTGATTGTGAAGGGGTTACCCTTTTCCGCACACTTGGTGTGCATATTGATGCACATGGGAGCACGGATTTCCGCACACCTGGGATGCAGTCGAGTGGCAAGTCTGCACATGCATCTGTCACATACCGCCTGGCGCACAAAACCTGCATCGTGCGGAATCCGGCACATGATGTTGATACGGATGAAGTCTCACCCCACTGTGTGGTGTGGACTTCAGGGGGAGGAGGCCACAGGTCCGTAGTGGATTCGGTTCCTGCATTCTCGACCATTGAAGGACATGAAGGCGAAGGAGCAGAATATGCAAAACAAGACTTACCTGGAGCTGATGTAGCTGATGAAGTCAGTGCAGTTGAAGGAAGCGGAGGTACAGCTGATGGCGTACCTGTGACTGGTGTTTCCATTTCGGAAGGCGTGGAAAATGATGATGTGGGAAATGAGGTGGACAAGCCAAGCAAGCAGCATCTCACCTGCAATTTGCTGGTTGGTCAAGGCAATCATCAAGTCAAGGATTCTGGTGTTGTACTCACCTGTGCGGCCACCTCGAACGGTGCGGCACAACATGGCATCACCTAACTCCACACTCACTCATGTGCTTGTAGCTGTGTACGCGGATCACTACAAGCACATGGGTGGCGGGAGGTGGGTGTGGAGTATGTCTGGTGGCATAAGTGTGGGACATGGAGTCAAGAAGCATAAGGGGAAGACCTACTCACCAAGGGTTGCCAAATAGGCAGGGGGAGCAGGCAGAATGGATGCAGCCGGTCGTCATCCGTCGTGCTGGAGCGGTATCGTACGACTGGTTACTGCTGATGAACACCTGGTGTGGACACTGTTGCATACCTGGTGTGCACACTGATGTGCGTACCTGGTGTGGACACTGTTGCATACCTGGTGTGGATACCTGTTACAAATATTTCTGCATACCTGGTGTGGACATTGTTGCATACCTGGTGTGCCCATTTCTGCATACCTGGTGTGCACTGAATACTTAAAGAGGACGTTTCTGCATGTATGGAGTACAATTTTTGTCGGCATGCGCAACCCTCGAGTTGATGAAGTTCGGCAACTCCGGCTACTACTGTGTGTCGACTGGAGTGTATGGGGAGCATCACCGGACATGAGGTTTGAGCAAACTTGGCATGATTGCCAAAGCATGGGGAGAATGGCCTACGAAGATGCAGCAAGCGCGGACACGAAAATGATGCAGCAGACGC